ATCAGGATAATAACTCTGCTTTGCAAGCTTTGTTAATCATAAATGATAATAACGCCAACATTATGTAGAAACGCTTCATCAAAAAGCAATGCGACGAATACATCATTAGTCACAAACATAGATTCTAACGTACGTTGAAAATATAGATGACATCGTGCTGCTAAGCCATTCCGCAAACTGTCTGTCGACAATTACCGAAAGCGTATGCATCACGGCCGTGGGAGTGGGACTACAAGTCAATTACAATCACGCGAAAATGCAAAGCGCTAGTCGTTAGGGAAGAACACCGGCTCAAAATTGTACAAAATAGTTCAACAGAAGCAGGTTCTGGTGTTGTGTACCCTCAATATCAATATTAGCTAAGCACTGGGTGTGTGAAGTATAGGCACATGCGACAGGTTTCAACAAATTTCTGGAAGCTTTATATGTAGAAAAAAATTAGGTAATAAGGTTAATAACAAATACAGTCATCATGAAAGCAATTGCACTCTCAGTCCTGGTTTACAGCCAGAAATACATCTGCACTGTAGTATCTAGGTCAGAGCCAAAAAGGCGGTTTGCTAAACGTTCTTACGGTGTAATAATGCTGTTAGTCGCCAGTGGGCAAATGATGGAGCCCTCCGACTCAAACAACTGCAGAAATTCAAATGCCGAAAACTGATTCGCCTTGATGAAACTGGCTAAAAGAAGATTAAGAATATTGGTTGAAAATGAAGATTTCGAAAAATGATCATGATGCTTTCTCCAACATAAGTGGTATGAATTTAGCGATTATTGAACAACCAGAAAATTTATTTCGAAGTATATCTTACTGCAGTGTTTTTTGTCAAACAACGTTGGCCATTCCCAGAAGAAACCATGCCTAGGGTATCGCCAACAGGTTGGTATTAAAATATAAACTTTAACAATGGTTTAATGGCAGGGTATTCATATATGTTCATTGCAAAGAGTTCGGTTTTATGAACTACCCGCTGTTTGCAACGTTTTAAATGAAGGCAAAAGACAGCATTGCAAATGAAAGACAAATCTGCGGGTGACGAAGAATGTGGCTTTTGTGGCAACAGGTCATGATTACTAGGATACTTCTGAAGCGCCATTTAAAACAGGTCAGATATTCGGAATCCCGACACCTTAACCATTCAAGTTTGCTCTTGACAATGGCTACCATCCTGCTAGAATCGAAAGATATAGGAGTATATAACAGTGAGCAAAACCATAGGGGAAGAAGTTCTGACCATTAATAACCACCTTCGCGATCCACCTTCGCCGCCTGTTCGGTATAATTCGTCAACGCACTCGTAGAAGGAGTATTTGTTCTTTCATTGCATCAATTCATTACATAGATGGAATTCAAAATATTTTCAAGAACTGCGCTCAAAATTGCATCACTAATTACATGCAAATACTTATCGATGCTAGCTACAACTTCGAGTACTCACTCAACACACAAATCACACCTGGAAGATAGTAATGGTTAATATCATTCGATATCGTTCACAAGTTCAGCAAGTCAGCGAACGAGACGAGCATACCAAAACCGTTGATCAATTCGTTATTGAGACCATGACCCCATAAGATTCCTTTCGGCAAGTCGTTTCCGGCAATTAGCATTCGTATAAGGTACTTGATGAGGCCGATCGACCGTCTAAGGTTTGTTTTCGACCGTTCGCTATGAATTCCTTCAGGAGCTTTGTCAGAGACGACGAACCGCAACAGACATAGCGACAAGACATATCTGAAACAGGTTCAAGCTGGTTTGGTCCTCTGTTCAGTAAACAGCTTTCCAAGTAACTCACTGATAAAGCATGAGCGCTTTCACGAACGCATTTACAAAGCCGTTGTAGTACGACGTGGAGTGCCAGTCTATAGGAAGCAGTCTGAACTTCGCCAGCAACGTTGTGTGGTCAAAAATGAGCGACACGAGGGTCAAACTGTTTACAGCAACCTGCAGCGCATTCTGAAATAATCAAAATCAATATTTGCACAAATTGGTTAATTTCGTAGAGCAAACTCAGAAACGTCATCTAAAACAGCAGGAGTCATACCAGGGAGGCCTCGGTGAAAACGAGTATTACATCCATATGCATGTTATCTCTTTGTTTAGCTGCCAGTAATGTTTAGCGATGGTGCTTTTAGTGATTATGGACAAAGACTCTCTTCTATAGCTTCAGACGGACTACTGTCGGCCAAGGTTTTGTCTAATTTGATCATTAAGATGCTCCCGCAAATACCAAGCGGCGGTTTTGCTGTCAGTTATCCTATGTAGATCAATCTCTGGGTTTCCAAGAAAAATAGAAACTTAATATAAAAAACAGTTTCATCTTATCAAAGCTTGGTTTGCAAATGCAAACAGTAACGGTGTGCAGTTTCAGTTGTTACAAGGCCTTCAGTTGTTATCGAGATAATCTGATGCATTATGCTTCATCATGGGTAACTACTTTGCATGAAGAAAAACAACGTCAACACCAGATTGTGGACTCAGTCAGCTTACTAGTACTCATCGGTCATTACTGACTGAATTATCGGTTAACGCTTGGGATACAAGGAAACGTCCGACGCATGAAACAGTTTCGTCTGCCTTCCTCTTCATTTTTGATACAAAGACGCCATTTCTGACGTAGATACAACCACAGAACTTTGAACAGCGTTCATTTTTAATTCAAAAGGAATGGCAACGTCAAAGGTACGTACAGCCAAATGAAAGTAACTAAATTTCAAATGTTCAAACCTTAGTTCAGGCTGCAAACCGACAAGTACGAAGTGCAAATTTCAGTTGCAAAATCAATGACATTTACAATGACATTTGGAAAAGCTGAACAACACGTAGTTCTTAAAGACGAGATTTCGCCGGCGCATCGCACCGCCTCATTGCTCCTAGTTTTCTAGCAAACCATTTAAGTAGGCCCAAAGCTCTACGATATTTGAGCACCTACAGGGCCAGGTGCCATTCGAATCATTTAGCATACCTCTTTCCCGTCACGGACGAGTTTCAAACCCTCGTATTCCTGATGTGTTACCGCATGAACATCAAAGCCGTGACCTGCTTCCATGACCCTCTAGGCAACTCTGATCGATGGAGTGGAAAATACGCCGCAAATGCTAGCCTTTAGGAGCTTCTCGCCATTTCACTTACTCTGGCGAATGAACATGGTTTGATGCTGATGTCGTAACATATGAGGAATACCAGGTCCGGATGCATTGTTCGTGACGGACTAGAGATGCATGTTGCACTACAGGGACTTAAAAACTATGGACCTGTACCTGTTGAAATGATCCCTAGGCAACCAGGGCACACCATAGTGCAGCACACCATTAAATCTGGTCTTGGAGGAATCATTTGCTGTAATCCTGCCCTGGAGGAGTTATATGCTGTAGACTAAGCTGTAAATCTCTCAATAGAAAGTGCACTCTGAGTTCAGAAGCCTGCCAATGACTATGCTAACGAGAAGACTGCACTGGTCAAACCAGCAAATGAGCCCTCCCGTAAAACGCAAGTCATAAGCAAAGCGATCACTAATCAATTTAAATTTCGCGAAGACAAGGAGAAGAGGTAAAGGAAGGTAGATATATAAAAAAGGCACACAGGAAAATGGAAAAATAAGACGAGTATGCAGAATGACGAAGCAAGAAATGCAGAAGAAAAATTTAACGCAGCTTTCATACCGTTGTCCGACAGCACATATTAATACGGCAGGTAACTATTGGGTAGTTTAACGCCCGCCACAGACATCTGGAAGTTTTGACGAAGTCGCAGAACGCCTGGACGTCAGAAGCATAAGCGCAGTGGTCAGTTTCCAGCCGAGTTTGTACCGTCCTTAGCACGTAGTACAACCACTCGAAAAACTTGTCTCGGTCACTGTACGAAGTAAACATCATTGAAATGCCCGCCTCGGCCATCGCTGCTATGGTTTCGTGCTAAGTACCGTGGCTACCGTCCACATAAGACAGAGAGAATGTGGTGTCACTCGCTACGACCAACGAGAGCCAACAGGCGTATGCTTCTTATAGTTAGTTTGCGGAACGTCAACGCTGGCTGCACTGTCCGGAATGACAAGGCGTCGCCGTAGTCGTGTTCATAACGGTGGTGGAAAAACGAGACTTCACAGCTCCTGTGTTCCAGCCAAGACATACACGGTTCATCTGTAAACTGTGTAAGCTAGATAGCAACTGTTCTGCTTGCTATCGACAAGCTGCGCCGTTTACAGCTCCGTTTGATCAGTTTTCTGGAACAAACCATCGAGCCGTGCTCTGGCGTGGGGGG